CCGGTAAAAAGGTTAAAAGATCCTGCAAACGATGCGTCAGAAGTAATGCATTGGAGGCTGGCGTGTTTAGAATTAGCAGTGGCTTTGACCACAATTACGAAATTCAAGCACAAACTGCAGTTAAATAATGGGCGATGGAATGCTGTTCGATAAGGATTGATCCAGCAATTTTCGACTATTTGAAGTACAACGAAGCCGTGCACCCACTAGGCGCTTCGCATCTTGGATAAACAGCGGCAGAGACACATACCACTAAGCCTTCAGTCTAATGACTCTTGAGGACTTAGATGAAATGGCTGCGTTGAATTGCGTTCATTAATGTACAATCTCTTAGGGCAAAGATAGCTAAGAGAAAAACATCCCCGCCAGTTGTAGTAGGCTCACGGTGAACTGCTAAGGCGCCGGTGACAAAGTATATGACATAATTCCCAGTTGCTTACCAAATGAACTGTGTACTACTCTGATTCCTAAGTTTGCATGGCCTTGCATGCCTATCGACTCGAAAGGCACAATTGGGGTAGGCCATTGGATAAGCAGTTGTAACTTCACCCTCGGGTATCTGAGTAGCTTAACTGGGCCTGCAAAACCCGGCGACCTCGGTTTGGTCCACGATCCACACGTGAGCACATTTAAGTAACCTCACTTGTGTTTTAACATTGCGTTCGATGAAATGATAGCGCTTGGTAACTCCGAGCACCGTTTTTACTAGAAGAGGGGAATAGCAAGAGTTGTGGAAATTTTTTCGAATTTCGAGCAGTTACAAAAATTCTCTTCATTTTCGATGAGTCAAACCTCTCGTACTTCGACTAGATGCTATCGTACCGACGATGTAGTATTCGACTGGAATATTAATGCGTTTTCGTGTCGTCATAGTATTACATATCTTACCCTGAGCTGCAAGCAAAATGTCATTATTCAACTCTTAACTTCCTTTCGCTTAAGTCCTAACACAATACTGTAAACGCCAAAGGCACCTGGTTATCTATTTTAGTGAAAAAAATTTACATTTTTTGCAGCAACTTGCTGAACTGTTTAATCAAACTTGTTTTCTAATAGTGAGCCATGTAGCCATTTCATAGTGTAATGACTTTCACCCTAATTAGAGCACGTCTCGATGCTAAAATCCAATATATCATTTGTAAATTTATTGGGTTATGCTAAATCAAGGTCTATTTCTGACTATCAGGTAAAAATTTAGTTATATCAAAGTGTTTTCAATTGTCTGCTGTCTTAGAACATAAACGTTGTGACTCTCGCAACAATGATAGAGCATCGTAGGGCATTATTAGGTGTTTCATTTGCCTAGGCACAATGTTTCACAAACTGACTTGTCAAAAATTTTTGATGCTTTTATAACTAGACAACCTCTTAAGTTAAATTATTAACGCAAAGGTGAGACTTCCGTGCAGGGCTCTTTGAGAGGGTGGCTCATAGTGGTCAATTTGCTTTACATCACCTATTTGAAGCATTATTGGGAAAATCAGCATGTTTGCACTTGTAACTTTCATGATAATGTCAACCAAGCAACGATGACGTAATAACGAAGAACCAGTGTGGAATATTCGACCGAGCGATATACATGCCCATTGTGATAACAGAAAATACCTTAAGTAAACTAATGACCCATAGGGCCGTCAACGGTGCGTGAAGAATGCTTATCATTTTTGTATATTTATATACAAAAACCTTTGTCCAAATATGGACAGCTGTAACGACTTGTGGGGTCTTATAAACTGGTCATGGGCTGCTGAACTTGAATCATTTCTCAGCCTACTTAGTGACAAAATACTTTAATTGGCACCATGATTTTAAAACGCTTGTCATTTTGTAATAATCAAATTTTCTGAGTCACACACATTGTTATTAACAAACACATTAACTAATGACCGCGAGATGGCAAAATGCAGGTGTGCAGTAAAAAAATCATTTTATAACTCGGACTACTGTCAGTTATCTTGTATTGAGTTCGACTGTCCATTTTCCGCAATGTAACCATGTACTATTATGAAAGACAGCAAGCTTTCTAGGTTTATTGGCTGCATTCTATGTGGGACTCGCATGCGTTAAATGTCAGCATTCACTAAGCCAGCAGCACTCAATCTATCTTACTTACTACAACCCGCAATTTCAATTGCTGAACCTAGTTCCCAGTTCTTCACTACCAAAGTTTGCAGTGCCAGCTTTTACTAGATGCCCTGAATGAATAAAGTAAAACATTTTTACAGGGATCTGCTGAATGCTTAATTGCATATCGGTTGGTTGACCGTTTTGCTGACTAAGGCAACATTTGCTCTGCTGCCCCTGTAATATAGCTCGAGTATTCCGAATATGAAGTGTTGCGTACTTAGCTGCACCTCTCACCTTTAACGTGGAATTGGATTTTGCGGTACCAAAGGAATCTTACCCAACTGATTTTAACCTGCAGAATGAGTGGGAGAAAAATCACTGTGAAACTGTTGAAACCAGAAACCTTGCGAAAGTCATCGTATTTGGTACTTTCCGAAATCCGAGCAAAGGAGACTGAGCTTCCCGATAAAACAGCCACAAATTCGGTAATTTTACAATTCTGTTTGATACCAACTACCCAGGTAAAAAATAAAGGACCGGAGGCGACGGAGGCCGAACCGTATCTTTGATCACCGAAGTTGGTTGTGATGAGTCATGGATGTTCATTTGTGTGTACGAGATGTGATTCGCGATAACAATTAGGATTCAGCGGGGTTTCGGGACGCGTGCGCACAGATGAGTGAGGTGACTTAGGCCAAAATCCTCGGCACGGGTAAACACGGAATCCAGTCACGCGTAAAATCATCGCAACGGTAGTGGATCAATAAGATTCACAAAAATACTGCAGCTACTTCCAAACTAGAAATTTAGACTCATGGAATTATCGTGGGTAGAGAATCCGATGAAAACATAAAACGGCATGTTAGTTGGCAATAGGACTCGTTCTTTTTTATGTTATGGTAATGTGTGCACATGATAATGCGACTTCACCCATAACTTGTAAGAGAAATTAGCAAAATTTATTGGGAAGAACCCAAACTCAAAGTTCCGTACTGAGCATCCAGGATTCCCCGAGATGGCTCATTGGAGGTTTTCGTCATTGTCTGCACTGATCCCCTGACCACGCCACATCAGCTGGCGAGTCACCCGCAAGGCCCTACTGTCAACCCCATCAGTGTTAGTCCGCCTTCACCCATCAAGTCAAGGTCACCATTTACTTACATAAGTGTTAACATTCTCACAGATCATTGAGCCTTTGGCTAAGACGATACAAGCTCACTGCACGAGGTCATGTCTTGCATTGCGTGGGGAGATCGGTTTTAGCGTCAGACAAGTTATCTGGGTACCTATTACTTCAGCGGGTGTTGTCTTGGTTACTGGCAAACGTAACATTCTTACTGCTTTGTTATCCTGGATTGAGTGAATTCACCACTACAGGACTAGGGATACCTTCGAGGCATTAAATTTAAAGGATAGATGATTAGCGACCGGAATGAAAACGTACAGTCTCCGTGTTACCTGGCTTTGGCCTGAGTATAACCTTATCAGCTATTATTATAACACGATCACAACTGGAATATTCATTAATCTGAATGCTGTTTCATTATGGTCTCATTTGATGAGTCGACAAATTACAGTATTGTTAATATTTTATTTTTTGTAGAGCTGATAGAACTGAAGTCTGGAGTATACTGTACGTTTATATCCCAAATACCGACGGCAACAATATAAATTAAGGAAGGCTCTAGAAGGAAACTCAATCAAACTATTGTCAGAGGAGCTTGCTGATTCAGAGAAAGTTCCCCCTAACGTGCGTTTCTGGGCCAAATCAAAAACCACGCCAAAACAGTTACAGTATCATCTAAAGCTTGTCATTGGCTACAATAAAACCTTATACCAGCGGTGACAAATA